TCGGCTGTTCTCCTCCAGCTGCTGTAGATACCGTTCCTGCATCTTCAGCTTTGTAGCCAGGGCTACCATTTTCTACTCCTGCTGTTGCAAGCGCTGCTGTTAGTCATATCTCAAATGTTTCTGCCACTTGTTAAGCTTCTGCCGTCGTCTGCTTAGGTTGATTCACTTACGGTGCTTCATATCGTTATCGAAGACGTTTACGGCGAATCACCGCCGCCCAGTGCCCCTTTGGAAGCGCCTAATATATGGCCGACCGTTGGGCTCGAGCTTGGCCAAGCTATCGGGCCAGTTGTTCCCTGAGTCGGTTTGGAAAGTCTTCGGGGAACGCGTGGGGGAGCAACAGGAGGAGGATCAGGAAAGCGAGGAGGAGGATGATTAGGAGGAGGATGAGGGTGAAGATGAGGATGAAGGGGAAGAAGGAGGAGTTGGAGGAGGAGACTTCTTGGGAACCGTCTTGCGAGGCCTCTTGGGAGACCTCTGCGGAGCTTCCTGGGAGCCTTTTGGAGGCCCCTTGGGAGCCTCCCTGGGCCTCTTGGGGACTTTTTGGGGGCCTTTGGGGGTTTCTTGGGGGCCTCTCTGGCCGTTTTGGGGTGTTCCCGACCCGTCTGACACCGTCGGACGCCGTCTTGTGGGCCTCTCTGAACCGACTTGGGGCTCTCTTGTGGCGCTTCAGGGCCGCCTTGGAGAGTAGATTGGACGTCTTGGAGGTCGCCGTCCTGGAGGCCTCTTGGGCCGTCATGGGGCCATGTTGGAGGCCTCGTGGGCGATCTTGGGGCGATCTTGGGGGTCTTAAGCCGTCGGAATGTCGAGAAGAAGCAAATGCCCAAATCCTTCAAACACCTAAGGAACATCAATGCTTTTGATCTCTTCGGATCCTCCTGGAGGATCTCTTGGAGGCCTCTTGGGCCGTCTTGGAGGCCTCTTGTAGGCCTTTCGGAGGCCCCTTGGGCCGTCTTGGGCCATCTTGAGGCCATCTTCGGCCGTCTTGGGTGCATCTTGGGCCGTCTTGGAGGCATATTGGGGCCATCTTAGCCGTCTTGGATGCCATCTTGGCCGTCTCGGAGGCCTCTTGGGGCCCTCCTGGGGCCGTCTTGGGGGCCTCTTGGGCCGTAATAGGGGCCATGTTGGAGGCCTCGTGGGCGATCTGGGGGCGATCTTGGGGGCCTCTTGGGTCGTCTCGAGTCGTCGGAATGCAGAAAAAGAGCAAATGCCAAAATCATGACTTTGATCTCTTCGGGTCCTGGAGACCTCTTGGAGGCCTCTTGGGCCGTCTTGGAGGCCTCTTGGGGGCCTCTTGGGCCGTCTTGTGCCGTCTTGAGGCCATTTTATGCAGTTTTTGGTGCATCTTGGGCCGTTTTGGAGGCCATCTCGGCCGTCTTGGAGGCCTCTTGGGGCCCTCTTGGGGCCGTCTTGGGGGCCTCTTGGGCCGTCATGGTTCAATCTTGGAGGCCTCGTGGGCGATCTTCGGGCGATCTTGGGAGCCTCTTGGGCAGTCTTGAGCCGTCGGAATGCCGAGAAGAAGCAAATGCCAAAATCCCTCAACAACCTAAGGAAAGCCAATGTTTTTGGCCTCTTCGGACCCTCCTGGAGGACCTCTTGGAGGCCTCTTGGGTCGTGTTGGGGCGTCTTGGAGGCTTCTCGGGCGACCTTGGAGGTATTTTGGACTCTCCTGGGCCGTCTTGGAGGCCGTCCTGGACCATCTTGGGCGGACTTGGAGGCCATCTCGGACCATCCCGGAGGCCATCTTGGGCCAACGTGGCCATCTTGGAAGCCATCTTGAGCCGTCTTGGAGGATTTTTTGGGGGGTTTGAGATCCTGGGCAATCTATTCGGGTGGCCGGCGGGACGGGCCGAAGCCCCAGGAGTGCTTTTCGAAAAGAACCGAAACCAAAACCGAAAGGGTTCAGCACGCCAGGCACCCCTGTGATGAATCAACAGGGGGCGGCGGATCGAAGACGCCTACGGCGAATGACCGCCGCCCCCTGCCTTTTTGGAAGTGCCTATGTGGCCGAACGTTGAGGCCATACCTGCCAAGCTATCGGACCATGTGTTCCCCGAACCGGTTTGGAAAGCCTTCGGGGAACACGTGGGCATCTTGAAGGTCATCTTGGCCGTCTGGAGGCCATTTTGACCCTTTCGGGCCTTCTTGGAGGACGTCTTGGCTCTTGGGTCGTCTCGGAGGCCATCTTGAGCGTCTTGGAGGCCTCTTGGGCCGTCTTGGAGGCCTCTTGGGGCCGTCTTGGGCCTCTTGGGCGATCTTTGGGGGCACTTGGGCCGTCTCGGGCCGTCGGAAGGCAGAAAAAAAGCAAACGCCACACTCCTTCAACAACTTATGGGAAATTACCGATTTTGTTTTTTTCGGGCCTTACTACTGCAGGCCCTCCTGGATGCCTCTTGGGCCGTCTAGGGCCATCTTCGAGCCAACTTCGGCCATCTTGGTGGGCTCCTGGCCCGTCTGACGCCCTCGGAAGCCGTTTGGGGGGTCCTTTTGGAATGCTCCA